TGTCTACTTGTAGCTTGGCTGCTTTCTGACTTTTCTCTGTAACTACCCTCATTTATTTCCATTCTAAGTTCTCTGGATGCTACAGGCATCAGAAACCAGAGATGCAGGTGATTGGTGCCATCTAACTTAAGACAATAGAGCACCTCAAAGTGAACTGTGAAAGGGCACTGAAGTGACAGTGAAGTATAAAGCTTCTTACAAGTCAAAGGAGGAAAACAGAGCAGGATTTGTATTTTCAGTCACGCATCTGCCTTTCTAAATGTTTCACATCATATATTTTTCAAGCATATAAGTTAAGCCTATGTCTTTGGGAAAGACCTTCAAAAGCAATCAAATTTTCCAAAGATGAGACCTAAAATTTGCTGGGAAAGAGGGTAAATGGTCACAAACAGAATCATGTAAGTAGAAATACACAAAATCACATTCATTTGGAAGAATCATGTAGTCTTTTTCTTGTGCCCTTGTCTTCCCTGATTTCATGGCACCCTGCTGCAAACACAATGAATGGTGCACATGAGCCTAGGAAGTGGGAATGAAAAAGATTCTCTAATGGAACATCTTACCTGGCTATTAGCTTCTGTCTTTGCAAGCAATGCCTCTGTGTGCCTCCCATAGTGCAGGCACACCATCTGCCTTTGCTCTAATAAATGAACTTACATTACAAACACAGAGCACAAACATACTCATATCCTGAGCCTACTGCACCCAAGGGTCAGATGTTTTTGCAGCATGTATAACTAGCAAATGTTTGCTCCCAAATGTTTGAAATGGCTCACAGTCTTTCCTAATAGCAATCATAACCAGTGAAAAATTCATCACAGCTACATTATGGTAAGGTAAAACTCCTTAAAAAATACTTACCTATTTTCACTAATTGTATCTCAGCAATATCTTTCCGATATAAAATTCTGCTTCCCACAGAGTCTTGCATGTATTACTAATACCACAAACTATCAGATGCCACCTTTCTGCCTCCCTGGAACATCAGTCTGGTTTTGGAACCTGCAGGCTTCCATTTCTAAAATTTCACTTTTCAAATGAACAGCTTATTTAATTATGTCATCCCTGGTCTATGAAACTCAGGTATTTTTTTTTTCCCCAGAAACTTAAACATAATCTCACCATTTTTCCTTCACACACTAATTCCCAACACTGATATCCTCTCCAAATATATATATCTTTCAACTCTTTCATAAAGCGCTTCCTAATTTGTAATTTGTATCTCTCAGTATATTCTGATGTATGACCTGTTCAACAGATCAAGCAAAAAATATTATAACAGGTGAGCATATAAGTGACCTTTTTTGATTTTATATACCAGTTTTCTCCTAGGAGACCAAAGCTGTATGTTTTACAGTTGACTGCTGATGCTTACAGCTGCTGGAGTTTCAGGTCCCACTTTTATAGCAGTTGGTTTCATAGAAGTGATGCACGATCAACCATGGCTCTAGTATTGTATTAATTACTCAAATATTCTGCCTTTGGAACCCAAGGAGATTTCAGGTACCTGAAAGATATACCTGAAATAGCTTTTTAGCTACCAAATGAACCACATAAAACCTGCTGTGATACTATGACCTTAAAGTTCAAGTGCTTTTTTCTCAGTAGTGCATATTTCTAAGGAAAGAAAGCTCACCCATCCATATAGTACAGAAACAATACCTGTGTGGATTTCTGTCCAGTCATAGCTTGTTGTCAGACATCAGACAACATCAACCAAATTTGACAGAAGCTGTCATTTGACAGAAAGGACACACAATGTCAGATAATTCAAAGACTTCATACTTCTGTAAATTTGATAAAAATACTTGACAGTCAGACCTTACCCATGTCCTCACCGAAGCACTGCTCATTAACATCATTCCTTAATACATACTGTCCAATTCCAGGAGGAGACATCAGAAAATCCCCCACTGAAAAGTGGCATTTAGGATTCCCAGACTTCTGGAAAAGCCTTAATCCAAATTCATACTTTATTAAACATCAGAAAATGTAAACATAGGGCACCAAATAATTAAAAAAAAATTGTGTTTTTTCAGTCCCATTACTTCAACAATTATTTTCTTCTATACTAAATATTGCTCAGAACAGGGTGTTGACATAAAGGAACTTACTACTTATGCTCACCAGATACAGCAGCTAGTTCATCTTAAGGGGAACAAAAAGCAGGTCTTCTACAGACAATCCAGTCAGCTTAGCAACCTTCATTGATTGCAGACAGCTTAAATCAAAGAACAATGAGGACATTTATTTCAATCACAGCATAGTAGCTTGCTCGTGCAAGGTGAGCATGATTCAGCGCATATATGCTTTTTTCAAGTCATTTTAAGACCATTATCCCTGATGACTACATCTCCCTAAGGACAGTTTTACACAGAATAGTTTGGGTTGTAAAGGACCTTAAAGATCATCTAATTCCAATCCCCCTGCCATGGTTGTTCAGAGTCTCTCTATTCAGCCTGGCCTTGAACACTGCCAGGGATGAGACATCCCAAGCTCCTCTGGGCAACCTGTTTCAGTGCCTCACTACCCTCACAGTAAAGAATTTTTTCCTAATATCTCTTATATCCACTTATCTAACCTAAGTTGCCCCTCTTTCAGTCTGAACCAGTAACTCCTTATCCTATCACTGCAGTTCCTTCAGGTGAGGATACAAGGCATAGGTATTGTTGGCCTGTGCTGCTGGTGAGCTTACTTGAGCTTGGGCAGGCTGAAGAGTTGGGGGGAGTAGATCCCCTTTACTCAGCACTACAACAACCACATGCAACCCATCAGTTATTGTGTCTCACATGATGAGGCAAGGATTTCTTAAAGCTGACTCAACTTCCTCAAACTCTACCACAGTTACAAAAAAATTGCCATGATTTAAAGTCCACAGAAGCAGAGTCATAGAAACCAGATTAACCTTTCTGACCATTCATCTCCAAATAACATCTGCTTTATGAGAACTATAGCAGAAGATCTTTCTGGCAGTGGCATTAATGCATGCTACTTTATTTTGAAGGTCTGACTGCAAATGAGACTGAATAAGATATAATGAAAAAGTCAGAAATACTGCTCTCCATTTAACATGCTGCTACACAATAAAGTGTACACAGAAATAATGAAGCTGTAGACACACACAAAAACATGTATTATTGTTCTGGCAATAGTTCAGTGTAAAAAGGAACTCAGTGGCAGTCTGCAGCTAAGTCTATTGGGCTGACTTCTGATTAATATTTTTGATTCTTGCCTACATCACATTTCTTTTTGGGGATGAACAGTTCATTCCGCCTGCTTTTGCATATGATGACAAACACAAAGCACTATAAGGCAAGGCATTCCTTCAGTCTCATTTATAAGCTGTATACTCCAAAAGGACCAAGCCTCCAGTCCTGAAAGGCACTTGGATTTACAGGCTGCAAACACCACTAAATATCAACAGAGCTCTGACTACATGTAGTCATTGGAAAACTGCTGTGCTAAAGATGAACATGTGCTGATGAAAGCCAGCAAATAATGATAGCTCAGGTTAGAATAGTGCTGTCATTGTTATATCCATTTTTAGCACAGCTTTTCATTTACTATAAATGTTACTAGATATTTATTACTAGCATGGCAGAAAGAGCCAATGGGTTGCACAGCAGGGGCCAGCAATGCATAAATCTCTGGGATAATATTCTCCATAAAAAAAGGAGATGACATGTAATAACCCTCCTCAAAAAGTCATTAGGAGAATTGTGAGTGATTTAGGCATTTTTTCCTCTGAGGTCAAAGACTTGTGTTCTGTTGCAAATTTATTTCTAACCATATCAACTGAATAAGACCTTGGCAGCTCCAATTTTTTTTAAAAAAAAGAGTGGTTAATTTTGTAACATTAGGCTTCAGGCCGGAAAATTATTATTTCTTTCGTTTCATGCACATACACTCAGTGTTAAGAGCCTGGGAAAAAAAAATTATTATATCTTATGTCATAAAGAGAGGAAAAAAGTCACCTCTGGTCAACATCAGATGTGTATGACTGGGTCATCTAACAGCACACAAGTCCAGTGGAATGACAGCTTGAGTCAAGCAATCACATTCTCATATATACAGCCAGAGATGGAATCCCTACTCAGAACAGGGCCCCCTCAAAGTCACAGGATGCTCAAGGCCTTGGCCAGTCTTATTCCAAGTATTCTCAAGAATGTAAGCTCCACAACTTCTCTGGGCCTTGACCCAGTATTTGGTCTCCCCTTAGTATTTCACTGGAATTTCCCCTGATGCAAATTGTGTACATTATACAGGATCAACACAGGCCATTGCACAAGTCACCAGACACTTCTGGGCTTCCTCTGCTGCAATGCAGCTGTTCAAAATGCAGGTTAAAGACCCCAGGCATGATTTTGAAACTACATCATCCAAAAACACAGAAAAGGTCCTGCATTGCAAAGTGCCACAGTGCAAAGAGCTGTAAGGAAAAGATGAAGTTCCTTCAAGCAGTTATGTCTGCAGCAGCAACAGTACAATGGCTTTTAGTAGCAGCAAGGACAAAGACCAACACAACTTTCCTGAGAGTGTCAGAAAAGAATTAAGTCCTCTGCCCAGGAAAGAAGCAGGTGACTACACTTCATATCAAAGAAAATACTCCTGACTTGCTGATTTTCGTTTCAAAAAGGAAACTGGCTTGCAAAACTTCAAATATTTCTGCACATTAAATTAAGAACATCTTAAATTAATTAGGGATAAATACAACCTGATCCACAAACATGCTTTTTCAAGCATGAAATCAGATAAATTAGGACCTTACTTAGAATATAAACATTTGTTTACACATCTAAATGCTGAGCATAATAAAGATACCATTATTAAAATATTAAGGCAGCTTACACTATACTGCTCACTGAGTCTGTTTCATTTCTGTATCTGAGGAAATACACTCAGAAGTCCTAAAAGTACTGCAAGTAAATGAAATATTGTAAATTTAACAAGCCTCAAAAATCACAAGTGACAGGAAATACAGGAGACTTATTTTAAAATAGTTTTTAATAAAAATGGAAGTTTACTTTTATGCTTTACCTCATCCTCCAACAATGTTGCACAGGTTTTATTTTAGAAGCAGGAATACAGATGCTCAACAGGCTGCCTGCATCACTAAACTGTCTTAAAATTGAATTAAATATTAAATTGAATTAAAATAGCATTCGTATTTTGTATCCTAAGAAGGAAACCAACAAGAGATACTGGGTGCTGTCATTTTTGGTTCACCAGAAAGATGAGTACACAGCTGATGTGCTAGCTTCCATTTCAAACAAGCAATGCTGTTGCTAATCAGCAAGAACTTGTCTCACTGAAAGGCTTTTGAAACTTGCTTTGAAGAAAAACTCTTGGAACACGCAAGTCTTCTTTCCTATTCACAGTTTCTCGCTGCACATATTCATTGACCACTTGCTCATATCCCTCAGCCTTGAAAAGCTGAAATAAGAACTCTGGAAGAGAATGGAAAAAAAAAATAAATTAAATATTATGTTTAAGCTATTTTTAAAACACCAGACAGCATTTATATAAGCATATGTTCTTATGTGTTACAGCATGAAAATCACGCAGGCCTTCAGATTTCAAGCTGTTCTATGTGGGCAGACTGCTGAATAAAAATCAATAAAGATCTCCTTTAGAAACATCAACCTAAACAAAACAGCTTGTAAAACTGGGGCTTAAGCTAGTTACTCAGTTGAATTTCCAAAAATTGCTACATCTTTTATTTTTATTAAGCCTTGCCATTCTCATTGTGACTGATACCAGTGCATTTTCCCTTTGTGCAGCTGACCTTCACTAGCTGAAGACATCACTTACCATAAATATTTCAAAGGTAATCCAGCTGTGCAGATGCACCTCTGCTCAGGGGAGAATAACACCCTATGGTACATGCAATTGCTCAACAGAAAAACTGACAAAATGGCAAAGAGGATATGGTGGTACCAAGAGTCCACTAAGCTGAACTGAAAGTATTGTCCATAAACAAAAAAATTTTACTCAAAGCATTTCTCCCTTAAGGAAGGCAGAAGCACTCCACTAACAGTGAACTAACCTGTGCAGCAGAAAGGTCTGCTCATGCTATTGAGTCATATTAATTAAAAATCATCCTTTTTCCTTTCCTGCACCTCAATTCACTTACTCAGGCAGCAATTTCACAGTAAATTTAAGCTGTTCTAAACTTGTGTTACTTGATAGAAAACAAAGACATTCCATATTTCACTGCCCAGGGGGATTAGCTTGATCAAACAGTGATCATGTGGGTACAGGAAGCACCACTAGAGATGGGTATGTTGAGGAAGATGAGACCACCCACTTCGGTGGCACTGCAGGATTGTATCAACCAAAGCCCACCATGGCTGTCAACACTGTGTGCTCCTGTAAAATGGGAGACCCACACCAATGAAATATAAACAAACAGCACTCAATTGTGGACCTACTGAAATCTTATTGTAAGGAAGTTGCACATATTTCATAATACAAAACTACAACCATTCATTCCTCCACAGATTTAGCAGTAGAAGTACTACTACTACTAAGTACTACTAAGTAGAATTAGAAGTAGTAGAAGAATGGATTTTCTTCCCTATGAGAGAAATTCTGTGTTGTTATCCGAGGCCAGACATATTATAAATAAGTATAATTCAAATCACTCCATGTAGCAATTACTTGGTGTACCAATGTAGTGCAAAACAAATGAAAAATAGCAAGGGTTGCAACTTCTGTGGAAATGATGGGAGTCATGTCTCCAGTAACAAAAGAATTCTCAAGCATTAAGCAATGTTTATATGAAAATCAGCTAAATTAAAGAGATCATAATGATTAAAAATGGGAGTAGAGGTGATCTGTGAGACAGTCACAGACCAGCCCATGGAAAAACAATTGCTCACATGAGCAATATAAAAAAAAAATTCTCTCTTTTCTCCTTCCTTCCTCTTCCTGGTCCCTATCTCAATTCTTCTCCCAAAGGAAACATGCATAGTAGCAAGGAACTCCTTATTCAGAAACTATTCTAAAACACAATAAAAATGAGATTTAAAATTCCACTGCTAGGTCAGTCCCTTATTTGTTCCCTTTAGCTTCCATTCTCTTTGTAACAGCTAATTGTTTAAACAGAACTAAACATCACTCAATAAATAACAGCTCTAGAAATGCTTCAATGAAGCTGTAGCACAGCCTGCATTATCTTAGATTTCATCACTGTCCTATGAAGAATAGGGGGAGCTCAGGCAAGATTAATGTTTTTTATAAATCAGAAGCAATTAGGTAATATGTTATGGCATAAAATATGAATAACATTTACTTGGCTCCAAATCGATCTCTTCAGTGGCTGTATTTTGCTTTAGACTAAGAACAAAGAGCCCCACAGAAACAAATTCACAGCTTTTATTACATAACGCTCCACAAGTGATAGGGGGGAGTAATGAGTTTAGCACGAGGAACCGGGAGTTAGAAGCTATAGCCGAGCTATAATCCAAATTCATTGTGAGAGTCTAAGCAAATTCCTTTGTATCTCTGTGCTTCAATTCTCCACCAGTAAACTGCAGTAACCACCCTTCCTCCTGAACCATTATGAGCACTGAACAAAAACTAAATACTGTATCACATGGAAATGTTTTTTTTGCATTGTCTTCACTAAAAAACAAGCCCTAGAAGACAGACTGACCACAGCTAGTCAGTGCTATCCCAGCAGGATTTGTACACAAGCTTCTCAGTGCTGCAATTGCGGTTCTGCTTTTAGAAGTTAATAGACCTCATCCTGCTCACCAGAAATAGCCCTGCACAAAGAATGATGCCAAAAGAACCGCTTACTTGCTTCATGAAGATGATCAATTCTCTTACTGAACATAGGTCTTTCCCCCTTAGGTAACAAATCTGAATGAAATGCAGCAAATTCAGAAACTGCTGCTCTTGGAGAATTACAGCACATACAATAAGCTTGTAAACAAGAAAGTGCTCCACAAAGTTCTGCCAGTCTAAATAACTGCTTCTTCCCAAAAAGGATGGTAAATTAAATAAACCACAATTTAACAGTTCATCCACACAAAATAAAATTTCCATGGGCATGTTGGCAGTTCCCTGGAGAAAGTTGGAGCAGAAGATTCACAGAAATGAAAGCACTCTACAGTATATCTTACCTTCAGTAAAAAAATACGATCTTGTCCCATCTTGTCTGACATAGAAGTTTTCCCCAAGTTTGCTGCCAGATTTAAACCTGAGCATTGCATGATCGTACAGGCCATAGTCTCGGAACAGGACACACTTGCCTGGTTTTAACACCTGTCACATAATACACACATGCTTTAATAAGCTAAACAGATTTAGTCATATATAGGTATATCTATTTGTGTACACATACAGACACAGGTAACTAAGACAAGGTAGACTAACAAAGTCAATACAACAGTGAGATAAATATCTATATCTACATCTATATATAGACATAGATATAGATAGATAAAGATATAATTCATTCTCTGTGCAACAAAAAAGTTGTGTAAAAACTGGATTGACTCTTAAAAATGTTTCCCCATGAACAAAAGAGTACAACTGGTTTTAGAATACCTGTTCGGGTGCTGATCAATTAAATTAGAAACACTCTTCAAACACAAAGAAAAGAAGAAAATATACAATTTAACAAAAATTCCCAGCTTTTTCTGTTGACTATTATCCTGTTTAGCATCTGATTTTGTTTGATGGTAAACAATAAAATTTAGAATATCGTGACACTTCTTTTTTCATGGAGAAAGAAGAATGTTGCAATATGTTGAGAAATAAATAAGAAACTATTCTAGGAAAATGCATCATGGATTTTTTTTTAATTGCTTTTTGTCAAGAAAGCAAGCTATAAAGAGTTTAAAATTTATATATACATGGTCATTGCTCATGCTGATTTTAGATATCTAAATATTTATATGAGCTAAGAACCAATCCTGATTTTGGAAAACAAGTGGAGATATACAAAAACCCCCTAGTACTACTTTTTTAAACTACTGATAATAAGCCAAATAATATCAGAAAATACAAGACCCTTAATACACACATATGCAAAAATAAAAAAATACGTTGACTGTTTTCCTCTGCAGTCAATACATGACATCTCAGGGAAATTCAGAACAATCACAATTCAGGTTGTTTAAACTACCCTTTAGATGGGCCTATCCTAGTCTATCAACTGACAAAGACATTTTGGGGGGCTAAGTCTCTCTAGATTAATGTTGACTTCTGAACCTCCACTTCTAAATCACCACAGGTTAAATACATTTAATAATACCAGCAACATCCTAACTGCAGGTCACTGGATCTCTGGAAGTTAATTCTGGCTCACTATCATTCACATCTTATGAACACAGACATCTCTGCAATATATGAACATCATTCATAGCATTCAACCCACGTTACAGCTTTAAAACCATAGAGTGGCCTGGGATGGAAGGGGCCTGAAAGATCACCTGTTTCCAATCCCCCTGCCATGGGCAGAGACAACTTCCACCAGATCAGCTTGCACAAAGCTCAATCTAGCCTGGCCTTGAACACTCCCAGGAGTAGGGCAACCACAACTTCTCTGGATAACCTGTGCCAGCACCTCCCTAAAGAATTCCTTCCTACTATCTAATCTAAACCCACTCTCAGTTTGAATCCATTGCCCCTTTCCTTGTCAGTACATGCTCTTTCTTGTAAAAATCTCTCTCCGTCTTTCCTGTACACTACTTTCAGGTACATGAAGGCCATATTTTATATATCTTTTTGTTACACTGATAGCAGGAATTAAGCCTCAATCCAAACCATTTCACAATACCAGGAGGAAAAAAAAAAAGGACATTATAAAACATATTTTAGTCCTGCATACTTAGTGAACTAACAAAATATATCCATGGAATATAATATGAAAAACCACCATTACAAGAGAGTGATTTTCTCAAAGAAAAAAATGTACTTTCGAGCTAAAAAGAAGTGGTTTAAAGGCAGTAAATTCAGCTGTTTTTACCTTGTAAATGTTCCTCAGGACAAGATGCATTTTGTCAGGATGAATGGCAGAAAGCACAAATATAAGCGTGACAACATCCACGGAATCTGCTGGTATATTGTCTAGAAGATCATCTTTGGTAAGATCACACTGGAACACTTTACATCTTTCAGTACTATATAAGGCATTTTTCTAGGGAAATTAAAAGAGCAAGCTTTCACTGAAAATCAACAGCATTTGTTGCTACAATAAAGTAAAAATCTTGTGAAATTCATCAGTAGAGAGACATAAAACACAGTGACAAGAGAATATTAACTTCCAACAGGTGGCTACTGCAATCAGAAATTCTTTGCTGCTAACAGCAATAGTGAAACTACAACTAGTGGAATAGTCTGTTCCCGTTAATTTGAGAAGGAAAGTGTATTAAGGCCATTCAGAAAACATACCACTTCTGTTTTACTCCTGCTTCTACTGTTTAAAGAAAACATAAATACTACTGAAAGAAATTACTTATTACAGGGTGATGAAAGCAAAGCTCTTGATCTACAGGTAGACTGCAAACAATTGGGGTTCCTGTCACATAACCTGCAGCTGGGCTGCTGTAGCCCTCAGTTTTGCTGTGGAAAAAAAAACAACCTGGTCTTGGCAAAAAAGAAATTCAGAAAGAGCTGTGGAGGCAGATGCTGTTAAGTCATCCAAAACCCAGGGTACACACTCAGCCCAACCTCATCTTGGAGTGCAGCCACAACATCCCAGGGAGCTGCTGTCCTTTTCTGTTTGCCACAGGTATTTCTTCCCATCTTCCCCATGAAAAATGCTTTCTGGGTCTTGTGGTTCTTGGTAACAATGCTTTCAATTAATAGATATATAGAAATTTACCTGTCATTACAAACTTATTAAAGACTTTTAAAGCCCAAAGCTCCCACCAGCCCTGCTGCAAGGCTCAACTTTGGAGTGAAGTACCCACTACTAAGTGTAAACATACCTACTCCTAATCAGGTCACAAATTTCTTTAACAATAATTTTCCCAGCCTTGTTTTCAGGGTTCTCCTTGGGACTCCCTCTATTAAGGGCAAGATTCCATGACAAACAAATTTTGCTTATACTGCACAGTCAGCAGAGACATAGTAGTGCTCCCAAAAAACACTATCTTCATAAATCATTCAAGTAATATACAACAATGCTCTAATTTGACACTGAAAAGCCAAGTCTTGAGCAATGATTTGGCTTCCTACATAGGATCTCCACTGAAGTGCATCAGTCTCGATTTTTTTGGCAATGCACATTCTACCCTTCTTACAAAAAGGAAGCCAAGAGAAGCCTGTTGTTACAGTCATTTGGAATTTTAGAAGCTACTAAAAAACACTCTGAAAGAAGTTTCAAATATCACACCAACCTTCACATACTCAACAGCTCTAGGAGAGAAATCACAGGCATATGCAAAAATATTCAGATCTTCTTCTAAGAGTGGAAACAAGCAGTTCCCAACCCCACAGCCTGCTTCCAGAATGGTCAGTTTTTGATCTGCAAACTAGGGAGGAAGCAATACAAGACAAAACATTTGTTTTCTCATCATATGAGCAGAGACACTCTTCAACCAGCATTTTAAAAGCTATAATCAATTTTAATTATGATTCTTCAAAAAAACCAAAGTAGACAGGCACTGCATAATCTGACACTAAACACAGACATCCTGATTTCTGCAAAATTAGAAATAATTTTAGAACATATTAATATTTCTTCAGTCATCTACTCCTTAAGTAATCAACATACTTGTGCCATTTCTGTCTTGTCTTTGATTCAGCTATAAGGAACAATAGATGCATCTGGCTATCCCCTTAACTGTGTTCAGCAATTAGCCTGCAATTCTGGATGCTTTTCTTTAAAGCAGTGTACTGAAGTGCACCAGCTTGCACACAGAGAGACAAGCTGTCTACTTTAGGACTCAAAAACCAAATATTCCAGACTTCATTCTCAGCATCCAGGATTCTATGAACAGCATCCCCATCCAGTAAGGGCCAATTATAAACTGAAACTGAACTGATGCATCTGATTCTGAGAAGTCATCTTTGATATTAAAAGAAAATACACAGGGCACTGCAAACTTTACATATGTCAGCTCTTACCCAAATGGCTTTGTTCTAAGTATTATTAACTCCCCTGGAAAGAATTTACTGGAAACAATCAATCCCATCTTTTACAGCAGAATTGTATGGATCTCACCTCACGACACGCCTTTAACTCTTGAAACTCTCTGGTTGTCCAATGTCTGTCTTTGAAGAAATTGGTGCTGTTTCTTTTGTAAAATAGATCCCAGTTCTTCTGTGCCTCTTTCTCCAGTTTTAGTTGTTTGAACTCAGACACCAAAACCTGATCTTTTTCCAGTTTTTCTGCTTCTTCTGGGCTAAGGACTCGAGCACTATGGCCTTTTTTTTGGAAAGCACCATCTTCAGTAGATGTTGTTACTATATTTAAGCAATTAGCTGACACCTTTTCTTGGAACATCCTAGATTCTTTCACACAAACATGAACACCAAAGACCCAACGATGATATTTTTTCTTTAGTGTATGGTTCCATCGCTTAACTTAGGTAAAATAAGTGAGGATCTAGAAGCGGAATTAAAAATGAGAAATAATTACAGTATGCACTTAATACAACTTTAGTGATCTCTCCTACCTGATGGATTTACATGTCACCAGATTTCTCCTAATTTCAGAAAACCTTAATTTAAACTAAGAACCATATACGACATCACACTGATGTCAAAGTCAAAGAAGATACTTCAGAGTCTCCTGGTCTTCCCTCTGCATCCTAAAAAGCTACCCAACAAGAAAAAGATGGTGCAGCTCTAACTTTATTTTCACTAAAAGAGACTTGAGAGGGAAAGCAAGGGCTTTGTTTCTCATTAACCTCAGTTAGAACACTTAAGAAAAAAAGGTTACTGAAGAACAGATGACATTTAAAAGTCACATTAAAATTAATGAAGTTAATTCAAGTGTATTCATGTTAGCATTTCTCCTTCCTGCTCTCAGCTCTGAGAAAATACTGCTGAAAACAACAGCATTTATAACACCATGTCACCTAAAGAAGAGAACAAAACCAGTACTGTGGCCAAAACACCAGGGCTGGCCTGTGCCAGCATCCCTCCCACTGCCTCCTCCTGAGGATTCACACAGGTTTTAGCAGTCACACGTGGTTTTATTTTCAGAAGTTAACAAAAAGCTTTATTTCCAGCATAGGCTGGAAAGGGACCCAGACATTTATTCTGATGTTAAACTGGTTCTGACATCTGCCTTGTCATAAGCATGCAGATCCTCCAGGATGGCCCAGTGACTCCCAGGGAAGCCTAGGTAGCAAACACACACCACTCGTGTACATCAGGGCTCAGAGCCAGGCATTGGTGTCAATTTACCAAAAAGGAAACGAGAAAAACACAACAACACACACCCTAAAACAAACAAACAAAAAAGAGTAGTACTCCACTTACGCATTTTGTCCTACGATAAAATACATTCTATGAGACATATAATGGATAGTTAGGTACATGTTATATATGCTAGATATGATGCTATCATGATATATACATGTCATGATACAAACACAAACATAAAATATGTAAGCGGGTAAATGAAAAAAAGAACTGTCAGAATTTGGTCCAGTTTCACAGGCACACCCCTTTTTCCACCAAAAACAGCAGAAGAGGTTATGGAGAGGAGGGTCCTTTGAAAGGATGTCTCTTCAAGCAGACCATATTCTCAAAACAAACAAACAAAAACTTAATCATCAAAATTTCTGCCCTATTTCTACACACGCCTATATTCTAGGCACGCTCCATTCTTTCCTCACAGAGCGAGCGAGGGAAACAAACAAACGCAAGCCAGTCCTTTCAGTGACGCGTCTGCTGGGGTGGGAAGGCAGCGCGATGATAACCTCAGTTGCAACAGCCCATGCTTAGCTAAAGAACCTTTTAAAGGTGTTTAATCCAGAGCTAAGCCCACAAACATGTAACACCTCTGTGAGATCCCCCGGTCCCCCCACACGGAACCGGCTTCCCTCTAGCAGCTCCTGCTCCAGCCTAGCCGAGGCTCGGATACCACGGTGGGGAAGGAAAGGAAGGCCCCTCCAGTCCTGTCCTGCCCTGCTCTGCCCTGCCGAGGGCGGGGAGCTCCGGGCTCCCACCTCCCCGGGGACCCTCCCCGGGGCAGCAGCCCCTGCCCGGCGCCGGGCCCCCGCCTCGTCCCGCCGTACCAGCCGCCAGCCCCGGAGAGGGTTCCCGGAAGGGAAAGTCAAGAATTTCCGGGAGGACGCCGGGTGGCAGCGCACGGAGGAGAGGGAAGGGACCGGCCCGGCCGGGAGCGGGGCCATGAACGGCTCGGCGAACTCGCTGCTGGACAAGGAGGAGCACCCGCTGCAGCTGGGCGAGAGCTTCGAGCGGCGGCCCAAAGCCTCCTTCCACACCATCCGCTGTGAGCGCCTCCCCCGCGGCCGCCCCTTCCTCCCCGCTCGCGTCCCGTCCTCCGGCTGCGCTGCTCCTTCTGCCGCGCCCACCCCACTGCTCTCCTCGCCTCGTTCGCTCCGCCATCGCGGGGCTTGTTCCTCACTCAGCGCCTTTCTTACCCTCTTCCCTCCTGCCCTGTCATCTCCCGTCTCCCCCCTTCCCTCCTATCCCCTCATGGCCCGTCTCCCCCTTTCTCCCCTATCCCCACATGGCCCGTCTCCCCTCTTCCCTCCTGTCCCCTCATGGCCCGTCTCACCTCTTCCCTCCTATTACCTTCAGTGCTCTTCTCCTCCCCTTTCCCTTCCGCCCTTCTAGCACCTGTCTCCCCCCCGTCCGCTCCCTCAGCGCCCGTCTTTCCTCTCCACGAGTGTTTTCCCCACAGAGGGGTCCAACCCGGGAAGAAGGGGAAGGTGGATGCTGGCAGGGAGGAGGTTTGAGCGTGTTAGGCCAAGGCGAAGGAGCAGATTTAGAAAGTTTGTCATTAATCGCTTGGAAGCATAAAGAGTTCCCCCCGTAAAGGGGTGGCTTTGCCATTTTGTTTTGTTCTCTCTGGCAGTTAACTGCAGGACAGATCCCACCACAGGCCCGGCCTGGAGAGGCAGCGGGAGCATCCGGAGTTTGGTTTTTAACTGGGTATTTTCCTGATGAAGCAATGTGTAGCCCAGCAGACCTGTCTCTGGCTGTCCCGACGCCAGGCAGCTGTCGTAAATCACTGTCCCGGGAAAGCAAGCAGAAAGGACTCAGACATAAACAGTAAAGCCTAATAAGTGCAAGATAAATCCTGAGGTAGATTGTTTTGAAGAGGAACTCACTATATTGTAGTATATATTGAATTCTGTGGACAAGAAATCTGAGGAAAATGAATCCAGTTTTTTTTTTTTTTACTAAAATGACTGGTAAACCATCAAGACTAAAAGTTACAAATACTGAACTTTTAATTCAGTATTTTTCTATAAAAGGGGAATTTACACAGACAACAGTAGGATATTTTGGTTTATGATGCATAAATATAGGCCTGGTCTCATTACCCATATTCATACACCACAAACAGTAGTTTCAGGGACACTGGTCACCTGCATGCCTGGTCCTGTGTGAGTTAAACCCAAGCCATATCCAGGTGGAAATATACTAGATTTCTAGAATGGAAAGTGCTTCAATAATCAATTTTCCAAGGGATTGCAAAGCCAAAGCTCTTCAGACTACAGCTGGAAGAATGCAGTTTTATTTCAGAAGATATTTCTGAATGCTCTGTTTTCCATCTCTGACTTTCAAATGAGATTTCTTCATTGTTTTGTTGTTTTGGTTTTTTTTCCCCTAACTGTTGTTCTGAAATTATTTATCTGGGATCCAGCATTATATTATTTCCATAATCCTCTTCACACAAACTACAATGAGAGGATTTTGTAGGCTACGTTTGTTTCAACCTTCTTAAAATACTTCCTTCCTTTACATCATAATGGTTTTGAAATACTGTACTGAGAAACTGGATTATCCTTGGAAAACACATCTTAAAAACATTAGATTTTTAGGAAAAGAGCTGTGGGTATATTTGGAGGGAAGTATGTGCTCTAGTTCTACATGAGGATTAGCCAAGCACGTGCTAACAAAATGAAAACAATCAGTTGAGTGTTTGTTTAAAGTAATTCTATATTGCTGTAGCTAAGAAAGAAGTCTGATAGTGATATTCCTCTTAAGTTAGTGACTGTGCTGTTGAAACTCTTGATCCCATTTTGGCAAAGACACTAGCTCTTGTACAGCTGGTTTGTTTTATTTAGCAAGCTTGCACATAAAGTAGGTGGGAAACAATAGCTAGAAACAGATTGCTCAGATGAAATTGAAGGCTATGATTTGATCTGGCAGTTAAGGCATGAGGATTAAGTCAAGTGTGTCTGATTCTGCTTGTTGTGCTGTCAAAGTAAAACCCAATTAAACATTAACATCCTCTTAACGAGAATTTATTACAAGCCAGGGTTTGGGTTCTTTTTCCTGCAAATGTTTTTTTCATAGTGGAATTATATTTTAAATTTGTTCTGAGGTATTAATTTCATAACTAATGCAGTAATTAAAAGCCTTGATCATGAATATAATTGCACCTCTTCAGATGCAGGATTGCTAGAATTGAATGCAAGCTTTTTTTAAAAACAAGCACAGAGCAAACTAGCCTATATCTGTGTGATTTTATTTCACTTTGTCTAAATCCTCTCTCAAGATATTAGAGGTTCTGATAGGTTTTTTTTCTGTTTTTTTTATGGCTCACCAGCACAACAGAATAATGACAGAAAAATACTTTTAACTTAAAATGTTCTCAGTTCAAATGCATGCTTTAAACAGAAGTGCCTTGGTTGGGAGACAAAGCATTCTGTACAACAGAGCAAAAATACCTAAAACAAGTGTTAGTTTAAAGCCAGTACAGTGCCTCTCCTTAGTGATACTTTGGACCAGCATGGAGATTGCTGAAGTAAGATCAGCGCCTCTTTCTTTGCTCAGAAGTGAGAGCTGAGATCTCCTCCACCCATGTGTAGCTTTTAGCACCATTGTGGAGGCGAGATGGCTGTTAAAGAGCCTGAAATATCTATCTGTAAGACTAAATGAGTGGGTGTCATTAAATTAGTGTTTTTCACAGAGAGAGTCCTCAGGTTTGGAATTGGCAAGAGCTAAGCAGAGCCCAGGGTTTTGGAAGTTGTTACTCTCTTGAATTTGGTACAGTTTTTTACGCTGGCCTGTAAAACCAAGTGCCACTCAAAGCCAGGGGTTTGGAGAAGTCTGCTTTTGGTGTTCAAGCACATGATCTAGAACCTTATTTCCTTTTTAAAAAGAAGGTTCAGAATACAGCACCACCACATGACTGGGTTGCTTCGTATAGACACAATGTACTGGTGTGTTATTCCACCCCTGCTGTAAACACTGTTGTGTGTTTTACCATTCCCTGTAATCACAGTAAATGTGTGGTGGCTCTTTGCAGGGCACATTGATTCTTCTGGCAACTCTAACAAATGTAATCACAATTGTTTTCCTCTTTAGATGATTTTAAGCCAGCATCAATAGATACGTCTTGTGAGGGGGACCTGCAAGTGGGTAAAGGAGATGATGTTACCATCACTTTGCCACATATTCCAGTAAGTCTGTTATATATGTTCCCCTGTTTACTCTCCAACAAATTTGCAGTGTTGTTATAGTCTAATGTAAATGCTATTTTCACTTTTTTTATTAACACTGTGGCTTCAATATTTAAGCAGCCGGACTTGTAGTTTGTCCTTGCAGTCCTTAGGAAAGGACTGTACAGTTGGATCTTTGTAAAGGGCTGTATTTGTGAGGTTGCCAAAATTTACTTAACTTTTGGTTCCTTCCTCTCTCCCTCCCTCCCTCCCTCCCTCCAAAGACAAGGAGAATTTTACTATTAGCTGAAGCTGTACACCTGGTTCCCATCCATTTTTAGTGCTATGGTTTGCTGAAGAAAGGCAATGTAACTCGGGCTTCAGTCGAGCTTGGATGTTCAGAACCCACAGGCAGACCTGTAAGCATGTTCCTGCCCTTAGTCAAGCATGTACAGATAGGGCATAGAGGGTTCTCTGCCTTTAGCTTTATCAGTGGAAGCAAGGGGGCAGTCCTGGTGAGTGGCCATGAAGTAGTTTCCCATCCACTTCCTTCCCTAATGATGCCATAAAGATCTGCTGTGTGAAGATGGTGGTCAAAAAGCAATAAAACAAGTGATCAATCTGTTTATAGGTGCAGCTGGTTTGTAATTGAAGATTCAGTGGTTTCCTTACCAAAACAAAAGGAAGTGCTCGTGTGTTGGAACTGGATTTGTTTATTAGCTGAAATTAATGCTATGTGTCACACCAATAAACCACAATTCACGGACATCAATGGGTCTGGTAGCTGCAGGGGGGCACCAGTCAGTTTGGAAGCTGTGTGTCGGATCCTTTTGGTATTGTTCATCCCAGCAGGCCCATGTTTTTAATTGGTAGGTGATGGTACTGTGGTAATTCTCACTGAATGAAGCTGTAGCCTGCTTCACCCTGCTCCTGTTCTTTATGTGGCTTTGGTCACCTTCACTACTGCAGGAGGTCACATACTGGTTTTTGTCTGTAGAAAAGATGAGTGTGGTAGTGCTACTGGAGAGTAGGTAACAACACAACTAAGGGCAGCATTCATCTTGGATTATTTGGAAACAGTGTTGCTTATTCATTTTTTGTGTTGAGCAGCATCACTTGTAATGTTCCTTTCCAAATCTCTGTACTGAGGAGCTCAATTTGATTCTCTTCCCCTCAGTATGAACAGCCTTGAGCTTACGGTATGCTCTAAAGGCTGAGGCAGCCAAGACACTCTGTCTATGTTGTTCCGAGGCAGTGCTGCCTGTGTTCTGGACAGAGAGCTGGAAAACACTTGGCATACTGGAAAAGAATGAGAGGTTTTGAGATTGTTTCATCCCTGACAAGTTTCACTGAATTTCTTGGATGCTTTGCTTCCCAGTTGTCCAACAATTGGATAGGATTCAAATTCTGAGTTCAGGTTTTCTTTTTGAAATTGCCTAATCCCTGAGAGTATCTCTGATAATTTGTTTGGTGGAAATACTTTGGTGTCTCTTGCAGCTTGGATGCATTGAAGTACTATTTCTGTATGTGGATTTAGTGATTTTAATACTTGAAAAACAGTCTGGATTGGGGAAGGGAAAATTTCTGTTTGTTAGCATACTACAGAAGAAGATCATAGAATATCATGAGTTGGAAGAGTCCCCACAAAGATCATCGAAGTCCAGCTCCTAACCCTGCACAGAACAAGCCCAAGAATTACACCATGTGCCTGAGAGCATTGTCCAAGCAC